TTTGTATAGGTAGGTCAATCAGCCAGAGTTGCAGTCAATTTAAAGAAGTGAGGGAACCCTCTTCGGTTATAAAACCTGGACAGAGGTTCTAATCCTTCCCCACATTTTTCTATTCAATAAATGTGGTTTGTGCTGGAGATCCTGTGTAGGGGATCCAAGGAAATCTGGAGGAGCTTGCATTTATAAAGAGGACTTACATTTGTTCAGATTTCCTTTATGATGATTTTTATTAGAGGTCAGTAAAGATTTGTGATGGTAACATTTCTAACACTCCCATGTTTTGTTCCTCCCCAGGCATGTGACAAGGAGTGGCATCATTATGTACTGACCGTGGACTTCCCCGCAGTTACATTGTATGTGGATGGGGTTTCCTATGACCCCACCACAATGACCGAGGACTACCCCCTCCATCCTACCCATCTGGATACTCAGCTTGTGGTTGGTGCCTGCTGGCAAGGTAAATGTTGAACAATACACCGGCCTGTGAATTCTATGAACATTAGAAAGCATAGAACACGAGATAAAGAAATGTATTTCTGCCGAGTCTGTCGTCGTCTAAGTGAATGTATTTAAAATGTTAGTGTATTTTATCATTCTCTCTGGGTGCGGCCATTTTAGATGCCGTTCTTAGAGCAGTGTCCAGAGATCTCTGCAGCTTTTTTTCCCTGATGGTAATGTAGATATTGGAGAGTGAACACTTAATTGGAGTCTTGCTGTGAGGAAGACGGACATGTTCAGATGTTGTGGAAGATGGTGCTGATATAAATCACTGCTTGGAAATCTCACAATCTGAGTCTGCGAAATATGCGAGACGGCAGCAGGGGACTCATCCCTTCAGTGCCGTGCCAGTGGATGTGACCTTTAATTAGCTGGGTTCTCATAAATGGCAGTTAACCGTTAAGGTCCCTGATTCTGCATGGACTGGTAGGCCAGACTCTTGTCAATATTAGTTCAGTCCAAACAGCTTTGAAGCATTAACATGACCATCTTGTTTATCAGAGTCTGTTTGTTGCCCCATGACAGACAACGCTTATAACTAAAAGTGACAACGCATACTTCATGGGATGAGGCCATTAAGTGACCCTGTCACACCCCTGGCCAATTCATTGTTCTGAGACTACGTAAGCATGGTTTGCCCTCAGTTAAAACCACAAATCAAAGCCATTAAGTCATCAAGAGATAGAAGCAGATGAAGATGAAATTGTCCCTGCCTTTGAAGCCTCTTTATTGGTTCTGTAGTCTGACTAGCCGTTAACAATAGTAGAACTTGGAAAGCAAGATGGCCCCTGGCCAAGCCTAAGTTCTACAGGAAGATTTGAGGCATGGTGTTGCATATGACTTCTGCTGCCAATATATTTGTATCCACTAGGGATGCAGCGATACTGGTTTTTCAGTGTTGAGTACCAATATCTATATTTTGGTACTCACCGGTACTTCCGGTGGTATGGAGCCGCCTTCCCGGGCAATCAGGAAGCCGGGCAGCATGTCATTACCTGCTGCCCCGTTTCTTGATTGGCTGGGATGCCGGCTTTCTAGGCAAATCAGCATGCAGCCAGCTTCCTGCCTGACCAGTCAGGAAGCCGCAAGGTGGGTCATTACCTGCTGCCCGTCTTCCTGATTGGCCGGGAAGCCGGCTCCATGCTGTTTGGCTGGATCCATGCTGATTGGCCAGGAAACCGGCTTATCAGGCAATCAGCATAGAGCCGGCTTTGGGGAAAATCAGCATTGAGCTGCCTGTTTTGGCTGGCTTGATGCTGATTGGCCGGAAAGCCGGCATCCCAACCATACTGCATGAAGCCGGCTTCCCAGCCAATCAGTAAGCTGGGCCGCGAGCCATTATCCGTGGCCTGGCTTCCTGATTGGCCGGAAAGCCGGCTCCATGTTCCCTCACGGCACTGCCGGTCAGAGGAAATCTCCCTCTGATGGGAGATAAGTATGGGAGCATTTGGGCGAGCAAGTTCTTGCCCAAGTACTCGGTATCGGCACCCATACCGATACTAGTATCGGTGCATCCCTAGTATCCACTGATGATTTTAGCATGCGGTCTTTTCTGAGGATAACCTCTGGATTTACATGTAACATATGCTCTATTATGGTGGCTAGGCTTGTGTTAGGTTTTACTCAACCTGCATACAAAGCATGTAGAGTGTCCCAGCTCTCAGCCATGTTGGCTTGCAGATAGACCTTATAAAATCTGTCTCTTATGAAGGAAGGCGGGATTCGCTGATCTCCAAGCAGACGTGCAGTGTACACGAGTCTTCCTCATAATGATGTGCATTGGGCGCTCTTGTGTTTTGGTTGGGGTGTGCCGTGTGTACAGCCGTCATCGTCCTAGTGTACACCGTACCTTGAATGTGCCAGTCACTGTGTAGAGTGGAGCCGGCCCCATGGCCGACCTTCACTCCCTCGCACGGCTTGTGTGCTTGTTGTCATAACATGTTTTGTCATTGTTACAAATGTCCCTAACCTTGTGGTCACTTTCCTTGTTTGTCCCTCTCTTACTTTTCTGCAGAGTATTCAGGAAGTGGAAATGTCACTGACCCAATGACTGAGAGTGATGCAGGTGTCTGCAGTCCCCCCCCATCCCTCTATGTACCTTCTATATATCACACACACATCTCATGCCATCCTCTCCTCGCATGAACTCCACACTCACTTCCTATTTTATTTAGCTTGTATTCGGGGCTCTGCTCCTGTCCCTCTTCTGTTTTTAAGTCGGCATATTGAAGGTTTACATTGTTTCTCTTTATCTCCATCTCATAATACTCTGAGGTGACCTAAACACACACTAACATAGCGCTCATCTATCTCACAGCATCTCTAAACACACATATAATACACTGGCCCGTATGTTTCCTCCAAGATATAAAATACAACGTGCTCGGACCTGTCACGGAAGGATAGTTGAATCATAAACTACTGCAGAACTCCCCGAGACTTGTTTCATTTTGGGTTAAGCGGGACAGTTCTCGTTACCTAATCAAGTCTTCTTCCCTCTTGAGGGCCCTTGCAGAAATCTTCTCAACTTCTCATTGGAGCAGAGCTGATGTTGGCATGATTTCTTCATCCAATTCGTTGCAAGTCTACTACAAGTTGGATATCAAATGCAAACAGACGCATAAGCCTGAACCCCAACAATTGGTGCCAGATGAGGTCAGACGTGACATCTGATGCATCTCACCCAGTGGCCTTTATTTTAGGATCTACTATGAATAAGAACATTGGATGAAATGTTCCAGGGAGCAGAGTCATATCTGATGTTGGAGCGAATGTTCCTCTGCTGGCCATTGCTTGTGTGGCAGTCATACACATTTGTAGGTGGATAGCAGAAGTGAAGTATCTTTTGCCCCCTAGTGGATGTATCGGCACATATTCAACTTTGGAAATGTCGCTCCTCACTATGCCACCTTTGTTTGTTTTAAGTATGACCTGATAATGTGCAAAAACTGTTGTCTTTTCTGCCCTAAATGTTTTCAGAACTTTCACATTCAGGTCACAAATAATTCTGTTTGTTTAGTGGTCCTAGAACATTTAAAACACCTTAGCTCTTTTAATATATGAAGGCAAATCAAGCAAGTTGGCAAATGTCACGTTTTTCCTTCCCTTCTGCTGTCCTCAGAGACCTCCAAAAGGAGACCTCAATGGTTCTCCAGGTTTAACTTCCCTGCCTGATGATTGGTAACACATCTACATAACAAAGTTATATCAGAGGAATCAACCCTTTTACACGAATGGGCAAGCACAGTAAGAGGGTTTGCAGTCAAATGCCTCTCCTTGTGGCCCATTTCTTTTAGGCTGAGTGTAATGAGCTGCCAGCTGGTAGAGCGTGTCTGTAGT